TGTGGGGGTTTCCGTGCTAGTCCGTTTAATACGAATTAATTTAAGATTGCAAATTCACTTGTTCTCGATGTCACTGGCGTATAACCAAATCGAGCCTCAGGCTTTACTGAAGCGGAAGAAAAACTTTTCCAAATCTATGAGAACTAGAGATATCTTCGTTAGTACAACTTTAAAACTGAGATATCTTGCGTTAGCATTGAGATAATGTGGTATCTTCGTCATCACAACTTTAAAATTTCTACGGATTCGCGCGCATTGTGGAGGTACCGGTGGAGCAGACATACAGCAACACTGGATGCTTGTAGTGGTAGGTTATGGTGGTTCCCGCCCTACACTCTTGCTTGCCTGAGAATCTCATTTATCTACTTAAGAGAGCCTTTCTTCAGTTCTAAAATATCCATTCCCTTGCATCTTCCTACTACAAGTAAGAAGTTTGATGAAAAGAAGACTTGTGAGAAGTCCGTCCTGTAGAGGGGATTTGCATGCAATGCTTGCAGTGCATGCAAGTGCGAAAACCCAGGCTGGTACGCGCTAGGCTTACCGACTCGATCGTGCGTTTTTGCACTAAACTCGCAGGTCGCTAATAGCAGGAATGATCCCTGCGCTATAGCCTAACACTTGGGCTCATATTGGCCGCGTTTTGGCCCCTTCCTGCATGCAGGAGGAAGGGCGTCGGTTGGGATGAAGGTGGTGCTTTATAGAGCCGCACAGACCTCCAGGTACATGATTACCAGTTTTTTGCATGAAACCCGGTCGTTTTTTCGGTAAATTTTGGCCTTTTGAAAAGTGCAAATTCCCAGTTTACTAAAAAGTGGAAGTGTTGCTCCAGCAGTCGTTTGTGAAAAAATTTAAGTATGCAAATGAACTAATCCTCATTTACATGTTTGGATGAGGGCGGTCGTTCGTTGCAAAACGCATTCGTTTTTGATTTTTCGGTAAAGTTGAGTATTTCTCACGCCCACCTGCAGGGAATTTCACCTCTAAGCAGAATTAAGACTGCACTGGAAAGTTGAAATCCCAGCGAATTTTTAGCCTCGCAATTTATCCGGTAAGCAAAATAGTCACTTCGCTACAAATATCTTTGAAGTGCCCTAAGTCGTGGCGCAGGTGTAAATCGGTACTCATTTTAGGTATACATTTCCCATACGGACGACAAACATGCTGATAAAATTTCATCCACTGTTTTCCGGCAAGTTTTCGAGTTATCACAGTGCGAATTTGAAAACTGCCAAGTTGACGTGATCGTACGCGCTGCACAAGCGCGCGCGACGGCTGAATTTGGAATATTTAGCTCGCACATGCACTGAGAATATTCTTGCAGAGTTTCAGCTTTGTACCTTGCCTGGTTCGCAAAATCGTTTCCCACCAAAGGAATCTGCATATTTTTCTAGGGGTCCGTACGCAGGGTCTAGGCGCATGTGGGAGATCTTAAAATGGAAGGGTGACACACGGGGCAGGAACGTATACCCAAAAATTTCAGCCTTCCAGCTTTCTTGGTTGCTGAGATGAAAGTGGGTGACAAAATGCACTCGCTTCCGAACACACATACACATGCACACACACACACACACACACACACACACACACACACATACACACACAGGCAACCTCTCGACAATATGCGTCTTTGCTGGCTGTAGCAGCACTATAGCGCTGCACAGCAAAAACGCATAAAAATGACCTGACTGTTCAGTGAGAAATTCTCCCGCTAAAACTTCAATTGCCCATACGTGAGATGTTGCAAAAGGAAGAGCAGGGAAACGCAGGTGGCAGCTAAACCCCGCTTCGCCTTGCTCAGTTGCCCTTCGGTTCCCTGTGATATGCAAATGTTCCGTCTCTTAACTCAAGTTCCCCCTCCGTGATATTTAATGTGCTGATTAGAAATGAACTCGAAATTGTTTTTGTGTTTCAAGAAGTTGTACAGCGAGAGCTTGGAGCTGCTGCCGCTTCGATCGTTGCCCTTGTCCAGCAGCAGATTGGAACTGCTGCCTGTAATTTCGAGGTTCGTGTCTTTTTTTTTTTTGATTTTTTTTTTTTTGCGTTTGTACTAATAAAGGATTGTTTTAGCGTTTTCCGCATTTGCCCAGTCTCCTCCTGATCGTTACAGAGAACCAAGCATACTTGGAGGCTGAATTTAAACTCTTTAAATTGTACTGTACAGGGAACATTCCTCTAAAATTTCAACCTCTCAGCTTTCCTGGTTCCCGAGTTAGCCATTGTCCCGCCAGGAACAGGGCCGTACGCAGGAACCACGCACACCTAGGGGCTGAATTTGAAACCTTTGGACGACAAACATAATCTCAAAATTTCAGCTTTCTAGCTTTTCTGGCTTCCGAATTAGCGATTTCCCCATCGAACCCTTTCGTACGCGGGGCCCAAACTTAAGTGAGAGTTGCTACCGCGCTCCCGGGGTGAAACTTAGCCGGAGAGGAACCCACTGGCAAAATTTTGATGCCGGAGCTTGCTTTGGTGCCGAGCTGAAATATCTGGACAGACAGACAGACAGACAGACAGACACACACACACACACGGAGCCATCACAATATGCGTTTTTGCATTTGCATATAAGCGAAAACGCATAACAATTACTGCATTGTCACATTCATACAATACACTTACTCGTCCTAAGGCAATTTCTCAATACATTTTTGCGCGTGACATATATTGATAGCCATGTGTTTTTGTAGGCCTGTCATGATTTTTTTAATGCGTTTTTGCGTATTTATGCAAGTACGAAAATGCTTATTTGGCGACGCAGGAT